AGAAATTGAAATTTATTATGTAGCTCAAAATAAAAAATAAAAAACTGTGTACAACATGCACAACGTTTATAACATAATATTGTGCATAATATAGAGACAAAATCACCGACCTACCAATAATATTGTACATTGTTCATAAAAGAATAATATTGTGTATATTCTAAATTATGTCATATCATATTATGTAAATATAACGTGACGTTGTATGTGTAACATAAAAAACACTTGTTATCCTCACATCTCCAAAATTGGAAAAGTGATCCGAAAAGTGGAAATGAAAACGAAATCCTAACCGTCAAATTGTCCACATCTTCACGATGGATTGTCGGTGGCCTCTGCCGACGTAACACCAGCCAGCCATCATTGCCCACGTGTTAAACTTAATGCATACGGTATTGTTTTTTTTTCTTTTTTTTTTTCTTTTTTATCATTGAGGTGGGATTTGAACACCCACCTCCAAAATTTAATATAAAAAGTTCTATTAAGGGAACGGTAGCTATTAAATTATTAGGTGGCTATTAACTTATTAGGGCATTCCCTAACGCTTATGATATTGTTAATCAGTTTTTATTTTATAATTAAAAGTTTGTTCAAAAGTTTGTTTTTATTTAATAATTAAAATCGTGTAATTTAAAATAATTTAAATTATACAATATCTTTTTAATTGTTAAAAGAGAAATATTAGAGGCACAATTTACATAATATTAATATAAAATATAATATGATGAGAGACTTAAAATTATATAATTAAATGTTTTTTATTTAAGTTAATTATACATAATATTATGTATTTTTATTCATTTAATTATATATTAAATTATTCGTGACATTGTGCAAAAAACAACAATAATTATAGTGATATTTAAAAATATTAAGATTACATAAACTTTTAATATTTGTCTTTTTAAAATAGTAATTTTATTTAATTTAATTATTAAAAATAATAAATAATTATAATTATTAGTTGATAAATAATAAAATTATTTATTATAATTATTATTTGATAAATTAAAGTTAATTTAAAATATAAAATTTTTAAATATTTAACCTAACCGTTCATTAAAAAAATAACGCTATTCGTGTGACGTTAACATTTTTCTAGCTGTAACCAGAAAGAGCATTATCAGTGTAAAACTCCGTTTTGATGTACTCTGCCGACACGTGTGGTCCCCGCGTGGAATTGCCTCTTACGGTCGATTGAAAAGATATTATATTTTAAGCGCTAGGAGAAGATATTTTACTCTTTCTTTTTGGAATTAGTTGAAAACATTTAGAATAAAGTTTTTACAGGAAAAGGAAAATGATTCCCCATATGTTTTACTAATATGATAAGTATATGGAATTAGTATTTATTAGTTAAATTTTTAAAAATAAAAAAAATATTTTCATTTTAAATTATATATTAAAGTGTAACTTTGAGATTGAAATTATTAAAATATTTTTAATGAAACTTTTTTTATATTAATTCACTAATAATAATCTAATAATTTTAATATTAAAATTATACTTTTAATACACGATTTAAACTAAAATACATAAAATTCTAAAAAATTAGAAAAAAAGGTCTTATAATTATTTATTTTAATAAATTATTATAAAAAGTCTAAAAAAATTTTATTTTTAATTTAAAAGTAAATTATTTTAATTTTTTAAATAAAAATTTCTTGAAATGATGTAATTTTTTTTTAATTTTAAAAGTCTACTTGATAAGCACTTTTTTCTATGTAGATAACTTAAAATAATATGATTAACTCATTTAATCTACAATAAAATTTGGCATTATACTTATAGTATTACTCATTCTTACATACTACTTTCATTCAGCTTAAATAATCTTAATTTAATGTTTTGACTCTTTGAAAGGAATTTTAAATAAAAATTTAATATATTATATAAACAATAAATGAATTTTTTTATCAAATAAAATTACTAAAT